CCCAAAACCCCAAAACCCCAAAACCCCAAAACCCCAGATAGGGGAAATAATATAGATATAGTAGAAATGGAGGAAATTAAGGGAGAGATATTGGAGGATTCTGACCCCGTTGATGAAGAGGAACCTAATTTGGAAGAAGAAATTAGAGAATTCTTATCCCAAGATGTTAATTTGGAGGGAATGGAGAGGATGGATAGTGATAGAAGAGATAAGATTAAATACATCAGCTCTTTTCAAAGATGATTGCAGGCATTCAGGAAATATGTAGTCGATAAAAGGAGTGAGAAAATTGAGGAATGAGATGGACTATGAGCTCAGGCAAAAACGGAGATTGAGCAACAAATTGAAAAGTTAAAAAATCCGGATCTTAAACTAAATAAGATTGAATTGAAGGATATTGAAAGAAGGACAGATAGACTTTGGGATGATCTTAGAGATGAAAATCTTTATAAAGAGTTTACCGACGACAGAGTCTATTGCCAATTTTTTATGAATGAAGATGATATTATGAACAAGTTCAAAGCAATGTTGGGCAAGAAAAATAAAGATATTGAAAAACTAAAACAATGAAGTTTTCAGCTTAACAAAAAATTAGCGATGATATTAACAAATATTAAGCAATCGAGTAAATCAGATGCCAAAGAGAATGCCTTATTCGAGATTAGACAATTGATGGGAGAAAGAGAGAGAAGGGTTCCAGGCATTTTTGGGAATAATACTAATCAAGCTTCAGTACAGAGTATGCTTGATGTTCCTATTCTAAGACCCAAAGCGCGACCATCAAGGAAATAGAAGGTATTCGGTTGTTAAAACAAACTTAATTAAACTTTACAATATATTTTTAAATTAGCTTTATCAAAAAATAACTTTCTCTCCAATAGAACTTTAATTGGACCGAAGCTCATGAGAGAAAGAAAAGAGAAAGAAAAAGTTCAAGAAATTATTGAATGAGAGTCTAACAATGAAAACATCCTAATATGTGAACAAATTCAGAAGAATCTTAATCAACCCCAAAATTCAGGGATTACTTCTCGCTTTGATTCTCTATGAATGCAGAGCCAAAGAGATGAAAGAAGTTCTATGAATGCCCCTCAATCAAGAAAAAGTGAAAAGGAATTAAACCGAGAGAGAGAAAATAAAATTTAATGCAAATTATTTAAATGGAACTTTGGATATCTGCAATGAAGAATTAGATGAACAAGTTTCTAACAAAGAGAGTTCAAGTCAAACTCAATATTATCATCATACTGATTCAAAATATAGTTGTTCTTCTTCGATAAGGACAAAGCATACTCCAGGAACTCTCATGACTCATTTCTCCAAGCCTCCTGATATATCTTCATCTAAACAAAGAAACATAGTAATTCAATTTGAATTATATTTAGAGTATGAAATCGGAAGCCCGCGAAACCACTCTACATTTAGCTTTAAGACTTAGAGATAAAAGCAGCCAAGAACTCAATGAAGAGTGTAAAGAAGAATCTAAGTCGGACATATACATGGACGACAAAAGCCAAAACTTTGATGATAACCTAAGTTATCCTCTTGAAGGCTCTTCCGTGATGTACGACTTATCTGATAATGATCACCTCATGTTTATACAAAATTGCAAAAGAAAGCTGCCTAATTTACAAAACATTGGATTCTGTATTAATGGTGAGATCCCTCAATGCTTATTAGAATCCTTGGAGAAATGCTTTCCTGATGAAGTGCAATATTGTAAATTTTATTTCCCAGCGAGTTCTAGATATTTGAAATTTGATATTCCAGAACAAATACGACGCATAAGTTGCAAAGCTCTCAAAGCATTTGAATTCAGTAGATTTCAAATCATTCAATTTGATCTCGAATGGTTTATCAAGGAATGCACAATTGCAAATGAAATTATATTCAGTCATTGCCTATTTTGTATACCAGATGGCCTAAATCTCTTTGGTTTGTGAAAAAATTCATGTAAAAATAAATTGGTTTTTGATAGATGCCATGCCAATTTTGATGAAAGCTCATCTGATTCTCCAAACCTCGTAACCTTTGAAATGATTCTACAATCTATAGAAATTCCTGATGTCTTCAGGAACAGAATAGTTTGTTCTCAAACTTCTCAATAAGTTTGATAAAATTATGATTAAAAATAGGTGTTTCAACTCTAAATTTTACTGTCGGGGTTTTGGGGTTTTGGGGTTTTGGGGTTTTGGGG